CTTACTACTTTTAAATCCAGGCTGAAGACTTTTCTTTTTGTCGCTGCTTTTAATTGAACTATTCATATCTTAGACTGCACTGTAACTTTTATCCATGTATTTTTTCTTTTAATGTTTATTTTATTAGCTTTTCTTTTTAATGACTGATTTTAAATGCCATTTTCTGAATGTCTTTCATTTATGTAAAGCACTTTGAATTGCCTTGTGTTGAAAAGTGCTATATAAATAAACTTGCCTTGCCTTGCCTAATAAAGATTTCATGTGACACATACAATTGATTTATTGATGGGAATGAATGTGAATAAATTAACTCTAGGTTAACGGTACTCTTGCTATCACTACTCACCGACACTATAAACCTTGTCCCTCATGCTAGCCCTGACAACACCGGTAAGCACACCTTCATCTAGGCTGCACTGTAACGTGTCCTGACTTGTAGTGGTTCTCTCCTCTATCTACACTCTTCTTGTCATCTTTGTAAAACGATATCAGACTGGTAATTGACACAGTCATGACTTCTAGTTAAATTCAGTGTGGCTAAAATGAAAAGCTTTGTTAAAATATGCAAGCACGCGAAAGTCAAATTCAGCTTTATTGTCAAAAATTCTACATGTGTTATACATCCAGAAATATCGTTTTCCACAGTGTGACATGTATACATAAAACAAAAAGGGCCTAGATAAACGTGGTATACATTAAACAAAATGGGCCTAGATAACCGGGGTATACAGTTTAAAATGTTAATATATTTAAAGTGTTCAAAGTGCAGTTTCAGTGCAAGTCAGTTGAAACGATCTTAAGTTGGCGTGACGTTGTAGTCGTGCGACCCTGCTGCTGTACTGGCTTGTAGTTCGTTTATAGTATAACGTTAGCATTTCGCTTTTGGCGACTAGATTTATGATTCAAAAATTATAAAAGTAGGGTTGACATGTGGAGATTATCCGGCTGAACAAAACGTGATCCCTCTCTTAAATGTGTGTCAACCACAGACCTTATTTCGAGCTATTTTCCAAAATCCTATAGAGAATTTGCATTGGTTTTTCGCGAAGGAACCGGAAGAAGTTTACTTCCGGGTTTTACGACGCGTCACTGCGGTTCTCTATTGTGTACACTGTGATCACCATCATAGTCAGTATCAACACTGAAGTTTTTTACAATTCAACCTGTTAGGAACATACACTTATTTGCCAGTTTGTTTTTTAAGGTACACCAAGCTGAAAGGATGTTTAAGGTGATGTTTTTACAGAGATGCAGATTCAACTGTGGTCATTTTGGTAGAGCTGCATCATACAGGCGGGGCCTTTGTTAGCCCTGCGCTGGCATTACAAAAAATAGAATTGAGTGTTAGAGGCAGGCTATAGCCATAGGTGTATACTTATCAAATATTTAAGGTTGAATGTAGAAGAATATTGTCATGTAAAATGCTAAAGCCACGCATGGTCATGTGGGTGCTATTAAATGTCTCCTTTTTATTTTTTATTTGTAGCAATATTTGACATGATTTAATTTTTTCATGGATAAGACGCTACACTTTTTACAGTTTGCCAGTCTCTTCACGCCCTCTTTCAGTAACAAGATGCAGATCGGTTGCTTTGTGAATACCTAAGATACCAATTGTTTTTCTCCCATGTTTTAGATTTTTAAGGCATGGCAAGTTTATTGATATAGCACTTTTCAACACAAGGCAATTCAAAGTGCTTTACAAAAAATGAAAGACATTAAGAAAATGGCATTTAAAATCAGTCATTAAAAAGAAAAGTTAATAAAATAAACATTAAAAGAAAATGATTAAGTGGCATTTATACTCCATAGATGAGAAACTGATGAGAACAATCTCTGTTTCTTTTGTATAAACATTCCCCTCTCACCAATGAGTGCCGTCTCCTGCCACCATTCACATCTGGAACTCCAGGACTCTTCTCTGTGTTCAGGGACTAACCTCTGATTGATGAAACACAGTGGATATGGTCAGATTGTTTTTTCAAACCCTTTTTTTTCCTTCCTGATTACTGTTAATATTTCGGTTGATATCATGAAATAGCTGCTGTATATGTTCTGGCGGCCGCTCTGCACTGTGCGGTGTTGTTTAAACCTCCGGGCTGGATGAAAGCAAAGTGCTGCCTGCCTCCCAAGGTCAAGTCACACAGACCTTAGATGTGAGTGATGCTGTGGGTGAATTCAGAGGAGTGTGTTTGTGTGTGAGAGACCCTTGTGCTGTCTGCAGCACGATGATAAATGAGACCGTAAGAGTGCAGGTGTGAGACTTGACTGTTGATTTCTTGACTATCCAACAAACATCCTCACACACACACACTTTACAGTACTCCTTCAAATACTCTATTCATCTAAGTTAGGACAGACCCAGATGCTGGTAGATTTTCAGCTATGGGGACGAAAACAAAACGTTTTATCTATATCTTTCTGTATTGCTGAGCACAGTTTACCTTTCTTTGAATATAATACATTTGTATCGCTTTAACAGAAAGAATTACATACAATTTAGTATAAAACTGTGATATAAATAAAGTGTGTTTTGATGGGATGTTACTTGAAGTTAAGATGCCTTGAAAGTTGAAAGTATATGCAAATGAAATAGTGATAAAGATGAGATTCAGAATGTATTCAGAATTATATCACATTTTCTTTTATTTAGAGAACATTTAGAATATTCCCCTGTGGACATAAATCCTGCGCATAAAAATTCTGCATGTCAGATTTTTCAGCTGTCAGTTACAATCGTAGTTATAGGCCCGGACACACCAAGCCGATGTTGGCCGTCGATGGGCGTCAGGCCGACGATGAGCGTCGACACGCCCTACTCAGATTGGTGTGTCCCGCACCGTCGTGTCTTTTCAGCTGTGCCAACACCTTTTCGGCCGAAAACCCGCCGATGGGGTTGAATCGGTGGGCAGTCGGCCAAAGGCTCTCGGCAAAAGAAATCACTCTGATTGGCTGTTCAGCTAGCGAATCAGTGCATGAGAAGCGAAACGGAAGTGAGGGACCCAAACAAATGATTAAGAGAGGCAAATCTGAAGATTAATCTAACTCCCATGCTCCTCGACACAGGTTCGGTAAAGCCCCATAGAGCTTCTCGCTGTATGAGTGGAAAATGAACGCACACGCTATTTGTTGTTTGTTTATATCACGCAGTCTGTTCTTCTTCTCTCGGTGTATCACGCAGTCTGTCTTCCGGTTGTTGCCTCTTTTGAAAGATGAATACACACTACCGCCGCCTGCTGGTAAGGAGAGTTATTGCCACTCATGCATGCACAATTCGTATGTGCTTCTTGGCCTTCGGCTAAAGTCTTTGCGGTGTGTTCCAGTGCGACACATGGCCGAGACGCGAGGCGACGCAACAGTCGGGGTCCGTCTGTGCCAGTTCTTTGGTGTCAGCTTGGTGTGTCCGGGCCTTATGTCCTTTTTTTTTAAAGAAAAGGTTTTAGTACTGAAAGGATTTTGAAGTCGCTCTGGAGAAAATAATTGTTTTGGTTTCTCTCTCTGTACTGACACAGGTTTCATTTTGGTTTATTTCTTAAAAATACCCTGCTACTAGTTTTCTCTACTCAGTAATGTAATATTAGTATTAAAACAATAGGAAGGTTGTATACATTGTTCCGAACTACAATAAATACATTGAAGGCACCTCTGCTTTTTCAAATGAAAGCCTTTCTGTTCCTCGAAACCTGTCGTTTGCTGAATGCCCAGTAAACAGTCACCCAACTGAACATATCCACAAACTGTGGGTCCTCTTCTACCCATACCACTGCAACAACCAGCAAACTCACTGACATGATCCACAACATTGTGACCCTCAGCTAAAAAAGGCTGTTCCACTGTGGGCCTCTCACAGCAAGACAGGCATGCTCTTTTCAAACGTAGATACATTTTAAAGACCTTTTTACATTTTGACGTTCCCTATTGTCTAGTGAAACCGAAATAATTGAAACCCCATTCCTTGTGGTTCACCTTTTTAAAGGCGTGCTGTGCCGAGCACATTTTACTGTTTATTCCCAGCAGGAGGTGAGGCTGGAGGAGAGAACGGTTCCCTGTGTGAGCCTTTAACTGAGAATGTGAAGAGCTTCAGAGATGCAGCATTATTTATGAGGAGGGAATGAAGAAAGAGCATTGGGCACGGGGTGTGGGGCATTCCTGCATCTGTACTGCCAGCTCTGAGGGCCCAAAGGCACGGCAGAGAGGAGTTCAGAGGAGTGAGTCTCACCCTGATAGATAAGTAATGGATCATGCTCAGCGAGGCGGTCATTAATAAAAAATGAAGATAGACTTGCTGATCAGGATCCCCGACTCGGCTACCTACATAATAATAAACCAAAAACATAATATTGGTTGAAAATGATCATATTCCTTCCGCTTAGAGAGAAATAGTCTGTTCCACTGCCAACCAACAGCTGTACTGCTGCGACAGCAATGTAACTTAAAGTGGATCTATTAGGCTATATTGGAAACATGTATTGTAGGGCCTTACCTATACAAAACATGCCTGTGAAGTTTGTTGCTTAAAATACCAAACAGATCACCCATTGTAGCCATGCCTCATACTGCTCATACCCCTCTTTTGCAGCCCTGTTGCTTTAAATTGAACGTCTGCTGCTAGCCACGCCCCTTTGTAGCGTCACACAGCTTTCCCCTGCTTGAGAGAGATTTCTACCGGGAGATCTCAGCTAAACGCTGCGGTGATTAAATGCCATGTTGTGCTCCTAACCACTTCAAGCTTTATTTCTGAAACAGTATGGAGCTCAAACCTTTCTCTCTCGCAGGTTTACCACAACGACATTACGTTACACATATTCTCTCCAGTAGCCTACAGCGTTAGCTCCATGGTTAGCTCTGAGTGTTAGCATGCTTGCTAATGTAAACACACAGCATATTTCTCCCAAAACACGCCGCGCATTGTTTCTGATACAGCACAAAGCTTGACATGTTATTTCTTAGGTGTTTACCACTAGAACAGTGGCATTATGTATTATATATAAGAACTTTACTTTAAGCCTCCAGCAGACATCCTGCTGAATACACAGACACACAGCTGCGACTGTATACGGAGACGATAGGTCGGGATGTGTCACGTCGGCCGGATTTCACCAATGACGTGATAGGAGCGAAAATTCTGGATCTGCTTGTTAGCACCCCCCATTTTTTTTAGAGATGTGGGTACGGAGGAAAAGAGAGAGGGGGCATTTCTCAATGTCGAATAAAGCTGCTCCAGAGCCACTATTTCAAGCATACTACGTCATCGAGTGCCGCCGAAGGCCAATTTCCAGCATACTTGGAATTCTACCGAGCCCGGCGTACTTCGTATCGAGACATTTCGAGGCTGCACATGTGGAGACTCCGCGGTCTTAAAATCCCCACAATGCTTTGCGCCACCGGACCAATTTCCCCCAAAATCTGTGGCGGAAAATGTAAGGCGGGCTCTCATACGAACGCACACTTTCCTCGCCTGTTCCATTCTTCGTTTTCCGAATGCCAGGAAGTAGAGAGCTGTGCCGATTATGGCAAAATCATTATCACGATTATTTGGGTCAATAATTGATATCAACAATAATTTGACGATTATTCCATTGAACCATTTATTGAACTTTAAAACAAATAATATTTTTAACCATAAACAAGATCAAAAAATATGTTGGACGCACTTCCAAAACCATACTTAAACATATATTAATAGATAAATAAAAATAAATTAGACCAAAATAAATTAAATCCAAATATGTTGCAGTGCATTGTGTCACAACTTACTGAAAACTCCTTAACATATAGCAACATTTGATAAAACATATCCAAGATATTCCACTCACAGTTTAAACGTTGACACGTCCCATGACGTCATGGTCCAGAACTCACACCACGAAATAAATGTTGAACTAATCTTAAGACCAATAAAAATGTTTTGGGCACATTGCAAATGCTGGTAAGGCTAGCTCATGTACCACTCCCTCTACACAAGATGTTTTCTGCAAGAAACACCCCCCCCCAGCCGTCTATACATGGTCTGCGTTTCCAGAGATGAGCGCAGCCGCCGCGGTGACAATATTGCCACCTGTACTGAAGACCCCCCTCCTCTGAGAACCTTTGCAGTCGCTGCCCATCACTCCCGACACACAGGAAAAAAAAGAAAAGACTCTGAATACCCTTTCTTTGCCATTATATAAAAATAGTGTTGCTACAAAAGTAATAAACTTAGGCTTACTATAAGACAACCCAATCTGAAGCTCACAACAAAGGAACAAACAGCCAAAAGTGCAATAAAAAAGACAAACATGAATGGAATCAAACCCATTTTTTTTTTTATCTAACTTGAGATTAGTTTCAAACTGTTGAAAANAGTGCTCAAAGACCTGGCCTCTTTCTGAGAGCTCTCCAGCTCACACTGAGACTCTTCATACTTTTGCTTCCATTCAGACAGGATACATGTATCTGTAGGTCCTGTCTGAATGGAAGCAAAAGTATGAAGAGTCTCAGTGTGAGCTGGAGAGCTCTCAGAAAGAGGCCAGGTCTTTGAGCACTGAACTCTTCAAACTGAAGAACTCCTATGAGGAGTCTGTGGATCATCTGGAAACCATGAAGAGGGAGAATAAGAACTTACAGGGTAAGATCGACTGCCAAGACTTTTGACGAAGTTAACGTGGACGTAAACATTTCAAAAACTTTTTTTGGAAAGCCACTTTAATCACACTGCTTGACATTCCACAGAGGAAATTTCTGACCTCACTGAGCAACTTGGCGAGAGCGGAAAGAACATGCATGAACTGGAGAAATTAAGGAAACAACTGGAACAGGAGAAAATGGAGATCCAGTCTGCTCTCGAGGAAGCGGAGGTACTGGCCCTCATAATGAAACATTTAAAGTAAAACCCTCTACTGTAATGTATCTATAACTCTGTAATATTCTGTCTGTAAGGCCTCTCTGGAGCATGAAGAGGGGAAGATTCTAAGAGCCCAGCTCGAGTTCAATCAAATTAAAGCTGAAATTGAACGCAAACTAGCTGAGAAAGACGAGGAGATGGAGCAGTGCAAGAGGAACCTGCAGAGGACCATTGACACCCTGCAGAGCTCTCTTGAAGCTGAGTGTCGCAGCAGGAACGAGGCTCTCCGTTTGAAGAAGAAGATGGAGGGAGACCTGAATGAGATGGAGATCCAGCTGAGCCAGGCAAACAGGCAGGCTGCTGAGGCTCAGAAACAGCTTAAATCTGTCCATGCACATCTGAAGGTAAACTAGGAAAGGCTCACTTTCTTCAGATGTTTTCCATTCAATTGAACTATTTACTGAACATTGATCTGGTTGATATCATCCCGTTAAGGACGCCCAAATCCAGCTTGATGACTCTCTTCGATCCAATGAAGATCTTAAGGAGAACAATACCATTATTGAGAGACGCAACAACCTGCTTCAGGCTGAACTTGAGGAACTCAGGTCTGCTCTGGAGCAAACTGAAAGAGGACGCAAACTTGCTGAGCAAGAGCTGCTGGATGTTAGTGAACGTGTGCAGCTACTGCACTCACAGGTGAGTCCTAATTATTTATTGCAACATCCTCGGTTAGTTGACTTTTTTGTTGTAGAAAAAAACATAAAAGCTTTACTTTACAAATATGTTGTAACATCTCACATCCTCAAAAAACTGTAGAACACTGGCCTGATAAACCAGAAGAAAAAACTTGAGGTTGACGCATCCCAGCTTCAGACTGAAGTGGAGGAAGCAGTGCAGGAGTGCAGAAATGCTGAGGAAAAGGCTAAGAAAGCCATCACTGATGCTGCCATGATGGCAGAGGAGCTGAAGAAAGAGCAGGACACCAGCTCTCACCTGGAGCGCATGAAGAAGAACATGGAGCAAACCATCAAAGACCTGCAGCACCGTCTGGATGAAGCTGAACAGATCGCTATGAAGGGAGGCAAGAAGCAGCTGCAGAAGCTCGAGGCCAGGGTAAGAGAAATTTGCCAGTATACAAATACTTTCACAAATACCTTTGTAGGACAAACATTAAATGCATATTTGTAAACCTACAGTATAATGTTTTAAACAACAATTATCAAATTCCTCCATCAGGTACTTGCTAACTTCTAATGCTAATCTTCTGTTTGATTTTGGGAAGACTGTTTACAGTGGGTTTATCAGGGCTTTATGATGTTACGATGCCATGGAATTAAAACTGAGATTCAATGTTGAAAAAAATGGATTAGTGTGGCTTTGCTGCTTGTGCAGCCAATGGAATTCCAAATAAATAAGTTCCTGATGTTTTCAGGTGAGGGAGCTGGAGGGTGAGGTGGAGTCTGAGCAGAAGAAGAGCACTGACGCAGTGAAGGGGGTCCGTAAATATGAGAGACGCATCAAAGAGCTCACATACCAGGTGATTTTTTTTTTATGTGCATATTACCATGACCTATACAAAAAGAAAATGTGTGTGTACTTTCATTGCTTCAAAATGTATATAAAGTATTCTGAACATTCTCCACTAATAATCACCTTCTTTTTCATAATGTTGTTGTAAAAAACAAGATGCTTTAGAAAGAGAATAGTAATCAACTTTTCTTTCTTATTCCATTGTTTCACATAGACTGAGGAAGACCGCAAAAATATGGCGCGTCTGCAGGATCTGGTTGACAAACTGCAACTGAAAGTCAAAGCCTACAAGAGAGCTTCAGAGGAGGCTGTAAGTGTGGGAAAAGCTTTCTCTAATCTGTGCTATGTGATCACGATCTACACTACGTGTCATTAATGATTCAAATTGACTTACCTTGGCAAAATGTAAATTGGGGATTCAAACAAACTTTTGAAGGCATCATAGAAGATAGAGAGAGTTCATTGAATATGTTTATGTTAAGGTCATGAAATATATCAGTCTTAATTGTGACTTGACTCGGACCAATATGGAAACTAAAAACCAATGTTGAATTAACTACACAAAGAGACTGGTTATGGCCTTAAGTTACATTTCCCCAGGTTGAATGCCTCTGGTAGTAATAATGGGCCCTGTGTTTCGTTGAATCTTGTAGGAAGAGGTGGCCAATACTCATCTGGGCAAGTTCCGTAAACTGCAGCACGAGATGGATGAGGCTGAGGAGAGAGCTGACATTGCTGAGTCTCAGGTCAACAAGCTGCGTGTCAAGAGCCGCGATGTAGGCTCCAAGGTAAGAAGCTTCTCTTCACTTCATTAAAATATACACAGTATTTTTCACCCTGGTTACCATTTCTATGTAATCCATTCAAGCCTTGTTTTATTTTAAACAAAATCAGTATTTAATGTTATATATGTACGGTAATATCAATTTAATTTTATGTTTTAAGTATATTTTATTTTATTAGTTTAAATGAGTGCAATTTATTGGGTTAGTGTTCATGTCAATGTTGTTACACAAAAGGCACCATGACATTAATGCTAACTACAACTACAAAAGGATCGAAACGGTTATTCTTTTAAAAAATATATATATTTTCCGCAAATGTTACGTTTGTTTTGGTGATTTGACCATACCATATATAAAGTGATAGTTTGATAGTGTAAAAGGCCCTTACGCTGTGTGGAACATGCTAATGGTTTGGCGGTGTTTGTATACTCACCGACTTTGTTGTCGATCTATTTTGAAGGCACATTTTCTTAACATTCTAAATATTGTTGAAATCGTGTTGAAATACATCACTGTCAGTACCACTTACTTGTCACCACTATCTTTAGCCAAGTTACCTTCAGTAAGACTTGATGTTGAGTCTTGTTTGTCCTCCGTCACTAATCTCTCTTTGTTTACTCTCTTATCATTCTTCATCACAGAAAGGGCTAGAGGAGGAGTGAAACTCGCAGACGGCCACCTAAGATCTTTGGGTTCTCCTCTGATGTAGTCCCCTTTGTCTTTAAAGTAACTGTAGAATAAAAAAAAGTGCAATCAAATGAACGAACAGAGTCCTCATTTATTTCAATTAGGTGAACTTTGTACATTAAAGGTGGGGTAGGTAAGTTTGAGGAACCGGCTCGAGATACACTTTTTGTTATATTCCATGGAATGCTGTTAACATCCCGATAGCAATGAATATCTTAAGTGCTTTGACAAAAAATCCATTAAAAAATGTCATCTCTGGAAGCCGTAGCGCTGTAAAAAGCACGACCAATCATTTTAGCCGGCCCGGCTAAAATAACTGGGTGGCCTACCTGCCTGTCAGCCTTCCATCTGTGCACAAACTTATCTCGTGCCCTGATTGGTCATGTTCGTGTGTGTTGGAGGAGGGGCTCTGTAAGGAAGTGGCAGATTTTTTCCGGCTGTGTAATTTCAAATTCTAGCGCACTCGAGCTGGTTTCTCCAAAATGACCTACCCCACCTAAAGGTCTGGAGCAGTAAGGAGACCTAACATGCAGTTTAATATGTTAAACTGACCGGCTATCACCACATCACAATGGATACTATCACATTACTGGTAAATGGATTTCAGTAGATGAAGATTATTAGAAAACCAATCAATATCTTGCACACTCATGTGTTCACTTCCTGTGGAGGGTTACAAGTGACGAGGGTTACTTATAAGCAGCTCGCTCCTGCCACCTTGTGCTGACACTCTGAACTGTTTTCTGACTGTTTTATTGATGCCAAGATGTTTTTATCAATCTTTATAACTAAAATTTGATTTATTGTTTTTACTGACACCAATTAATCCTAATAGCTCTGTTACTTGTTTGTGGGATTATCGTACTTTTAAAGTGTTTTGTTGCTTTTTTCCAGTCTTGGGCCTACAATAGTATTGGCTCAGATGTATACATCAGGTTGACAATAGGCTATATGAGAGCAATATCAGCATGTTTAATACTGTGCCTTAATATATAAAAGACCTTTCCTTACCACATCAATTGAACTGTAAACAAATCTTTAAACAGAATCCAAAATGAGAAAATTGCAGCTACACCTAGAAATAATCTACTGATGGTTTAAAAGTTATTTCAGAAGTCTTTTTACCTTCTCCATAATAAACCTAAGGTAAACATGTATTGTAATGTATTTCTTTGGCAATTTAAACACTGGTTTAAGGAAACCAGAATGTTATTAGGATTAAGCCAGATTCAACCAAGCCTGAAGAGGACTTTACCCCATCATCACTGTAGAAGAGTACATTTGAAAAAGAACAAAACAATGATTTCCTTCATGATGTGACATGCTACAGAGTAGTTTGTGCAAAATTAGCCTGAAAGTCTATTAAAAAAACAATTAATTGCAACACTTTTTTAAATCTTAAATCAATAACTTGGCCGACTATTTGAGACTGGTGCTATTGAAATAGTGGCAGGAAAAGTCATTTTTTTCTTAAAATTGCAGGAATTTTACATCATACCTATATGATCTTCTCAAGTTATTGTACTTTATATTTTTGTTTAAACAATGAATGATTAAGAGCAAGTTTTACATTACTGAGGTTTTGATGTACACATATGAGTTTGGTTTTATGTTATGCATAACTGTGAAACATAGTTAATCGATTTGCACATGAGTTCAATTAACATTTGTCACATTCATTGATAACCATAAACAGTCAACAATATATGTTTTAATGTTACAATAACATGCATTATGTAACCTGTGATGACTTTTGATTAAAGTAGCGTGCAATTAATATAATCAAATCCTTTTTTAAACTGGATCTATGACTTACCTACCGTACTTCATCACGCAGCAGCACAAAGGAGGAACTGATGCTCAGCTTTCTCTGCCACAGGTTTTCCAGTGAAGGGTAAATATCAGCTTGAAACGTGTCTTCAATGCTGACCTTGATCTCACATGGCCCCGTCCCTCCAATGTTTTCTATATTTGCAGAGAGATTAAAGGGTTAACACATAAATTGCATAGTGTTATTCTTTGTCATCCACATGCTAACGGCAGACAAATTAAATAAGCAATGGCTCAGTGTTGGATACTGACTTGAATTGTACAATAGACTCCTCTGTCTCAATGATTAACATGTAATCTATGGTGTTAAGAAATACTTAAAGACAAATTAGCAGACAACAGCGACAATAGCATATCAAAGTTACAACATTTTTTCTTTCAATCATAGATATAAGCCGCCAATAATTGGTACAACCTCAGAGGATTCTGCTTATTAAACTGTGCTGCAACAACAAGTAGCGGATAGAAGTCTGAAATGGGACAAAGAACAGTTGAAGAATTTTTCAGGGAATTTAACATCTGAGATGGAGAACGAGTCCAACAATTGCTTTGTACTCATCATTCTCATTTGATAGAATTAGCTACACTTCCAGATATGAGAGCAGGAAAAAATAACTCAATATTTTCTTTCCTTCCACAAAAGCGATGTTAGTGTTTTCAATTGAAGATCCATTAACAAAGACTGAGTAAAGGCCTATTGTAAGAAAGGAAATCAATTGTATGTTCACCGTGGATTTGAACAACCAACATCTAATAATTACCATAATGAAAATTAAAAATGAATCCTTTGGTCTACAACAAACTCAGGTATATTGTCATATTGAGCCACCTGTTACAAGTTGTCCATCGCAACATCAGACTCTGCCCTTCTCAATCAGTGTGAAATAATCCAGACAAGAATTTCACAGGGTTATCTTTGTCCTCAAGGCCAAAGGAAAGAGAACAATGCCATGATGAAACATAGAGAGAGAAAGGGTGTGTACCTAACTGGAGACCTGTGATGAGTGATCATTTGCCTGAATGCAGCTCTCACTCTACAGCTTCAGCACTTGTTTTTGCAACTTTATCTTTCTTATCAGGAATTCTAACATGCCAGATCCAGAGTATTTAGCCATTCATCTTGCTTTTTTATTCACACCTCTGTTTGGGAAATAGAAAGGAGACAGTAAATTGCCTTATGCCTGGAGGAAAGGAAGAATGATCCAGGAAGAATGATTCAAAAAGAAGGTTGACCCTTTAATTAACTGTTTGTGTCTTCAAATATAAACGTATACAGGGATTGCTTTAAATCATGCCATGTTTTAAGATCTGGTTGGCAAAAAGGTTCAGCGGGTAGGTTACACAAGAGGATGCAACCAGGATCTTCTTGTCCAGATACAAAATAAACTGCAAAATAAATATGTGGCATTTTTTGTCAAATCCGATTGATAAACATCCTTTATTAAAGAAGGACTGGTGACTTTTAGCTACGGCGTTTCACTTTGCATTAAAAACATTTAATAGTCAATGTTAAAAAGGTGTTCTGTAAATAGGACGCATAAGACTGTCTCCTTCTACACTTTTAATTTATACATGTATTCCTTATGATTCTTATTTATTTCTAAATGTTTGGTCCTCAAAGAATGCAATTTAATATTTTAGGTCAGAGACTGAATACTAACTAGAAAATGCACAGTGAACATTTGTGGCTGAATTTAGCTGAAAATGCAGAAAAAGCTGAATATGTTATTAGCTGAATGGTAGCTGCTTTTAGCTACAGAGACCAAGTAAGTGTGTTGCTGAATTTAGCAGAGAAATGCAGAAAAGTGAAATGATTTGAATCAAATTGTTACAGCTCAAATGCATTGCAATGACTTTGTTGAACACTTGAAAGTGAAATGTTAAACTGGAAGAGGAGGAAAAATAGTGAAGAAGCTTAATATTGAAAAGAAAAGGTTTAAAAAAGGTATAAACAACAACATGTATAGCCTCATTGTCCTGAAATAGCTGAATAAGTTAATAGTTGAATAGTTTGTGCAGCTGAAAGTAGGCTGAAGGAGTTAAATAACAGGTGTAAGTAGTAGTGAATGAATTTGTATTAAGAAGAGAAAAGAAAGTAAAAAGGCTTGGGAAAGCAGCAGAATATTTGAACTGCAAACTTTTGAACTAACTTGATGGTGAATCGTCACCAATAATGTATAAAATATGTGGAACCTGTTGAAGTCAGTATGAAGTCTCCATCAGACAGAAAAGAATAGGCTGAGACAGTCTGTTAAAGTCCAGTCTGTCAGTGTTTGTTTCTGTTCCTGAGCACCTACTCATAACACCCAATCATAACACCTGTGAGTGTGTCCAGAGATCAATGGTTTCCATGGTGTCTGCTCTGATTGGATGATGTCACTCACGTGTGTGTGTGTGTGTGTGTGTGTGTGTGGCTCCAATCTGCCCAGCAACACCATGACAACCACCTGCAGCACTGAGTCGCATAAGAATGCATTGGGGATTATATCTAACAATTTTGCCACCTGTTCAAAAATTATGGCTCCTATAAAAAAATTACCAGACCGTGAGCATCAGGGAACCCCAATGAACTGAAATGTTTTTGTTTTGGGTTTTGTGTGTAAAATGTGGATATGGGAGCAGTTTTTTCTAAAGTGTACTTCTCTCTGCTCTGAAGAAAGATCCGGAACAATTTAACATGGGAATCAATTGGGAGCTAGCTGGACTTTTTGTCTCTTCATGCCCTCAAGAGGCATTTTAAAAAAAATATTTCTTCTTAATTCTTTTTTATTTTCCAACCTAGGAGAGGTTTTCCTACATTTTTCATGAAAAAATATGTCTGAGGACTGTAGGGTTTGGGAATTATGGCAAGTTTAAAACATTTTTGGGGGAGAATTGCAAGCACTGCTCCACTCTGTTTTGAGATCAAAGCACTCTAGAGTTAATGAGCTGCTCCATCCACTCTAATGTTAAAATCTGAAAAAGGCCTCTCTACCAAGCTCCAAACTAAGTTCAATATCTCAAAAAGTGTAAAAGATATCAAAAAGAAAAGTCAAGTTTGAATAGCTGAATGTCTTGTGATCATTTGAAAGTTAGAATGAAGTGTCTAGCTGAAAGTATGTGGAAGGAGTAGTATTTGGCGCAAGGTGTAGGAAAAGACGATTTGAAGGCATCTCCCATTGACTTCAATGTTAAAAAAAGAGTTTAAAAAGCTGAATATTTAAAAAAGTATGAAATATTTTTGAAAAGTTGAAGGTTTCCCATCGATTCCTGAACAGGCTGAATAGTTTAATATTCGAATGGTTTCTGTAATTGAAAATAAGCTGAAGTTATGGAGTGCCAAAGTATTGGCTCATCTCTCATTGACTTCAATGTTAAAAAAAGAGAGCCAAAGTATTGGCTGAAATAAGGGGAAGAATAAAGATTTGAAGTACTATAGTGGAATGCTGTGGCACAGCATTCGCACTAACTATTCAAGAGTAGAGTCCTCCAGTGACCTAGTAAATTCAAGCTACACCACTTTATCTATCAGAAAATAAAAATGGTAGTACCGTGGCAAGATTAACTTATCAGTTTTCGAAATATGCAGATTCCAACATATAGAGGTTTTGCATTAAAAAAAAAAGGACAATAAAATAAAACCGCCAACTGTACCTTTTCAGTCTTTGGCCCTATCCTGGTCATTGCCCCATAATCAGGAGTTCAGTCCACACAGAGGTCCGCAGTCTGAATAAGTGCAAAGAAGAAAAGGCAAGAGATGAACTAACTCCTTCCCTCCACCAAGCTCAACACCCCCTTAGAGGTGACCTTTCACAACAACATTTAACATATACTATCAATAGCTCTGCAAGCTCCAATTTCAAACTAAAGTGAAGGAAGGCACAGCACACATCCTCTTATCTAATAGTAAAGTCAAAGATACAAGGAATGTGGATAGCGGAATGGGACCCTTAATATACAACTCTATGCTATACTGTACAGCCTGTAATAGACTGAGGGATAGGTAAAGGAGATGAGAGTTGTAGTTTGAAGGCAAGCAGGGAGAAACCTGGCAAGATGTGATGTGAGGGAAAGGAAGACATCGGAGGTTTTGGTTGCATTACTGGCCAGCATGGTTTACACAATTTAATTTGTACCAGTCAGTTTCATGATCAAGCCTTATGTTTCCAGACCGAAAAAAAGTATATTGGATGTATCACAAAGCTCCTGGCTTCAATTAGTTACATGTTGAATAGTCTCATTTTTTCATATTCCATCTTGTATACAAACAATATAGTTTCAATACCGCATTACATACACTACATAGAGTACATACATGTTGGCACATTGGCTTATCGCCTGTTGCTGCTGATCAAAAAATTAAAATGTTTCCTGACTTGCAGAGTCACAAGCTTTCGCTATGCTGCCCATGAACCAACTAACCCCAGAAGGCAGCCAGGAGGAATTTCACAAGTTATCTTTGTGCTCAGGGATAAAGAAAGGTTAAGAAAACAATACCATATCATCAGAGGCAAGGAAAGGGCAATTGCAACAGGTAGCCCTGGATAGAAGCGTTGAGTACAGGTCAAAATAATTATGGTTATTCATCTGTATGAAGTATAAATCTGATTTTAAAAACACAATTTCTAGCAAACAGAAGATCAAGTATTCTTGTCTTGTTATTTTTTTTACATTTTTCTAAAGTATACAAATCTTTAAATACGTAATTGAAAACATGGAAGCTAAGAAAAATCCCTGCTGCAATGTAGCAACCAATCCTTCTCATAGTTATGGAAACAAAAGTTGGAAAGTTTCCTATTCATTTGTTCTAATCATTGCCAGAAACAGGCAATCATTCCTATGCCAGTGATGGTACAACTTTATCTTTATAGAGTAAATAAACCAGGTGAACTGTAATACAAATGGCATCTCAGGATCACATACTGTACAAATATTTTTGGCCACTGTTTGCTTATTTCATGTAATGCAAAGACCTAAACCAAAATGTTGAATACTTCATACTAGGGCTGTACCCGAATATTCGACTATTCGAATATTCGTTCGTTGGCCAACTATTCGGGTTTCAATTTCATTATTCTGATATTCGTTTTTTAATTTCTTTTCAAAAAAATATTTTCTTTTTTCCTAAATGTATGCTATCAATAAAGGCGAATTGCCATATTCTTATACTATATTTATACTTTTGAATTGCACTGTTAAAATGCGGAAATATATACAATCTCAGCCTGTGCTCCTGACATCGCGTTCTCACAGTCACGAACGCAAACGGCATGCTTCACCTCGTTTCACACACCTGAACACAAAATGCCGAAGACTTCAGCTGTGTGGGACCATTTTAAAATTGGACGACGGTAAGAAGAAGGCAGTGTGCCAAATATGCGACAAGAAACTGGCCTATCACGATGCCACAACAACTCTGAAAAGTCACCTGGATGCTGTAGTAGCCTAGCTTAGCTTAGCTGTTTTCAAGTTGCCATGATGAAGCTGCTTTATCCGCCGTTTAAACAGTAACGTTACACATGATAAAATTGTGCACTTACTTTGCTTGGAAAATAGTTGCAAGCAAGCAACCGAATTGTATTTTTATATTAGTTTTTCAATTTTATCCGAATAGTTAAAAATAATAGGAGCAATGTGGGAACATCTGGGGCTAAGGCAATTATTGGCATACAGTTCGTTCATTTTTTTTCGTTCTTCATTTATTTAAATACTGTTTACTGTATCGGTAACAAGTATTAGACTGTTAGGCCTACTGTTACGGCTGTGTTATTAAAAGTATTGTTGTTATAACAGAAATATGTGTTTTGTATCTTCAGATTGTTAAACGTTATAGACGGAATTTGGAACTAGATTTGGCCCCCGGGCGCTGAGTTAAATGCAGAGGACACATTTAGTTTTAATGTACGCGAGTACTGAGACAATAAATAAATATAAATCGTAATAGTATGCTCTTTCTGCTTAACAGTGTGTTGTCAGGTGTCTCGGATTCAGAGCGTGTTATGAAATATTTNACTAATAGTAAAATATATTTATGCAACAACCGGACCCGGCATCATCTTTGTTTTACCCAGAAGCAAACCGGAAAAAAGCGTTGAAATAGAATATTCCACCCGCAAAATCACCTTTTTTGCGGGCACCCGTCGGGTACTCCGCTGTATTACCCCGTCCCAGTAGACCTGCTATCTGGCAGAGGTTTCAAACTGTCATTTTGTTCCATCACCTTCCAGATCTCTCTGCAGCATACACACTTCATACTGCAGTGGGCAGATGCTTTCACAGCATTGACATGTACACCTGAATATGTGTACATAACATTAAAAAAACAATATCTGGCCGACGTGGTGAGGAACAGATGACCAAATTAAAGATCGGACATTTAGTGGCAGGTCAAATTAAATAAAACAGAATTTACCCATTCAGTATTGCCGACTCGAGGTCTCGCCGGCTGCGGAATCCGCTTCTCTTTCACAAATTTTCTTGCCTCGTTGTTCTATTGCCGGGCAGGAGGCTCGTACTGAAGTGAAAAAGGCTAGCTGGTTCACTCTCTACTCTTAACTGAATCCAGATAACCCACCGAATCTGAGCTTGAATGATCGCTCGTCGCTGTCTGAAGTTGTCGCGTTTTGCTTGCCATTGGACTGATTTGATCAAATGGCAATGTTTGCCACGTGTGACGTCACCGCTCGTTCGGGAGTGATCGGGGGCGTAACTCGGCAAACTTCGGAAACAACATCGGTTTTTAACGTATATGTCATTTAATTATGACCAAACTTTAAACATTTTTATTTATTTTTATTCTGGTGATATCTAAACTACATGTTAAAAAACACCTGTGTTAGATGTATTACATGGCCTTTAAAGACACATTTAATAACATTACATTGACATTCATTCTAATGAGTTGTTTAATCGAAAATATAGCGAACAAGCTTTTAGTTATACGAATGGAAAATACAGATGAACAGAGGCCCCGCTCACTTTTCATGTCAACACACATATTTCCCTCAGCGGTGGAGGTCACGTGACTGCAGTCAATTGATGCATACACAGCCAAATGAACAATGTCTTTTTACAAAATGAGTTTTTGTTTGTTTGCCTTGGACAAAGGACTCTCAGTTCTCAGGTGTCTGCGTAGAGCGGGGAGAGAACTGCACCACCAATGACATTAAAGATTCTGCAGATCACTCTTAGTCAGACTGTAGATAATGACAAGTCCTCTTCTATAGTGCTAAGTCACACACAGCCCAGCAAAATGTATAACCATTAGCGAATGTCACCTTTTTTTACCGATGTGCTTGCTGACGGCAGTAAGTATGGCGAACATTGGCCGATGCATCGGTGCATGCCTGAATATAACTGCTGTCTTACAGGTTTCCAACACTCGGCCAGAAGACAACAAGATCCGACAGGAAGACCTGACCAAAATCTTGGCGAGTGTTCACAGTGTCCACAGCGAGCAGGAGAGCATCGACCTCAGGCTGGCAACACTCAAAAGGTGAGAGTGAAGCTCTGTGCAGCTCATTCCTGCTTCAGCTCTGAATATTGTCATTTTTTTAACATCAGAATTAAGCTGTGGTAGCACTTAACGTGGATGAAACTGAAGTGTTGTGTTGTATAGGGAGAATGAAGCTCTGTGGAGGGAGATCGCAGATCTGAGAAAGATACATGCCCACCAACAGCAGCTCATCAAAAAGGTGAGCACTCACTTATTTCCAGTCACAGTTGTCAATGTTGCATCCTTCACAGGAGAACCATGTTACACCATGTAACATGTTTCTCCTGTGACCATGTTACAGCGAACACAGCAGCAGTATGTTCTGATTAAGGCAGTGTTAAAGTATGAGCAGCTTGGAGATGATATTAGAAACTAGGGATGATCGAGATCGGCCGATACTCACTCTCTAAACATGCCGATCGCATGATGTAAAATGCATGACACTTTCTCTGTGCTTTTACAAAATGACACTAAAACAAGCTCGCCACAATGGCTTCACCGGTCTGGCAGTATTTTAAGGTGTCCGAAAAAGACAGTAAAATAGCGGTATGCAACGTGTGTGAAGCAGAAATCCTGCAGCTCCATCCGCCGGACTGGTGAGAGGAGCAAAACACACTAGAGTTAGACTTAACACACTTAGCTATTTTATCTACCTCTGGAACTAGCTAAACTAGTTATACATATATTTATTATCACTGTCGGGTCACTCATTACTGGATCAGTGAGCTGCATGAGATACTGACAGGCTGTCAGGAGAGGGACGGCCCGTCCAGACACCGGCGTTGGAAGCTTCTTCAGACACGCCCACCTCCAAGCTTTTTCCAAAGCCGCTGTGTGGACGGGCCGGGAGAGAGGGTGAGGGAGAGAGGAAAAGAGAGCTCTTCCGCTCATCTCTCCCGTGTTCTTATCCAAAGTCAGGGCTCGACATTATAAATGGCCCGCTGGCCCGGAAGCATTATTTAGACGCCCCGGGCCAGCATAACGTACTTTCCACTTGCCCGCTCGGGCCACTAAAAATATTGCTTTAAAAAAAAGAATTGTCCTGTGGTATTGGTATTTTGACTTGCAATTTAGTTAAATTGTTTCGTTTATCAACGCTACAACATAGCGTTTCGTGAGTCGCTTGTCGTTGTTGGGTGAAAAGCAAACTGCGGGAGCGCGCTCCTTCACTACAGACTGTCGCGCCACCTAACCATTCGCCAAAATGTTTTTAATACCAGCGGTAGCCGGGCAAAAAACTATCTTCAAATAAAAGAAAGTCACAAAGGAGAGTGACAGGGAGCATGAGAAGAAGAGGGAGAGAAAGTTTCAGCCAGCTTGATCGGTGTAGTTGGCTTCTAGTGGTGCAGTGACGCGTCCTAAAACCCTTTTATAATCTATCGATTCGATTTATGATTTGAAAATTATAAAAGTAGGGTAGACATGTGGATATTATCCGGCTGAACAAAACGTGCATTTATCAAACAGGTTTGTTTTCCACAGACCTTATTTCCAGCTATTTTCCAAAACCCTGTGGAGAAATTCCATTGCTTTTTTGTCGAGGGAACCAGCAGCTTACTTCCTGGTTTTAGGACGCGTCACTGCACCTCTCAATATGATGCCAATATAAACAAGGTCTTCTGTCGGCTCAATGCCGACCTATGCTGACAAGTAAGTGAAGAGTAGAGAATATAAAGGTATTGGCTATAGGGAAACAAATGTCCCAGCAGTTTAGGATAATGAAGGTTCTAATCTAATCTATTACATAGCCATTACATTTTTAACTCCTAATGACAGGAAGGCAGAAAGCGCATTATACAAATAATAATACTCATAATAATAGCAGACATTTTTTAACAATGACCACAATATAATTATTTTAATAAACCAAATATGAACAATTGAGGAAAATGAGGAAGAACTGATGATTCAAATGTTGTAGTACAAGTAGTAATATAGTTAGTGCATACATTACTATTGCAACAAATGTGTTAATCTTCTTCATTATTAGTCGATTTCTTTGGACTAATGCTCCGGGCCAGTGGTTACAATGGTGAGGCCAGTGATAACACAATTCCACCGGCCCGGAGGGCAAGTTGCATTTTACCCTTAATGTCTACCACTGTAATGACACATTTATTTATTTCAGGGGACTTGTATTTCATAATGACACATTTATTTATTTCAGGGGACTTGTATTTCATAATGACACATTTATTTATTTCAGGGGACTTGTAATTTCATAATGACGCTGTCCAAGTTCAAAGGCAAGAGGGTGTTCATATTAACATAGTTCATTTTCATTTCAATAGAGTATAGAGCTTTGAAATATGTCACAAATTGAGGCAATGATGATGATCTTGTGGTTGCCCTTCAGGAGGAGTAGTCCAACACTAATCTTGGCAAGTTTCGTAAATTTCAACATGAGCTTGATAAAGCTGAAGAGAGAGCTGACGAGTCTCAGGTCAACAAGCTACGTGCCAAGAGTTGTGATGTGGGGTCAAAGGTCAGTCATTGTCATTAATTTGACCCTTTTTTATATTGGGCACACACAATGTGGTAATTCATTTGCATGTTACAGTTCTTAAATCTCTGTTGCTACAACATCTCTGAGCATTGCACATTTACAATTGATTACAAAATGTACCTTTAAATCCCATTGACCTTTTGAATCAAACTCATTGTTGAATGTTTCTCTCTTATTTCAGAAAGGACATGATGAGGAGTGAAGCTCATGGAATGAATTCTTGTTTCTGAGGCACCTCATGTCTAATGGTGTCTCCCTAAGCATGTTAGTTTTTCAGTAGAATACAATTAATCTGCATCTCAAATTGTGCATTGGCTTTTTTTTTTTTACTTTTTCATGTGTTATTACTTTGGAACAAAATTATAGGATACTGGTGACACTTATTATCACATGTTATGTGTGGAACACATTCATACTTAGACTGATGTTGTCAATACTATTACAAAATTGAAACACATTTCCATTAATAAATTATATCAATGTTAGAATTATAACCTCTACGTATAATAATACAATAGAATTGTAGCTTAAAACCCATCCCTGAACAACATCTATAATCTGATACCTTATGAATATGGTAAATCAATTTGAATTGTTATATAATAGGATCATATTCAGGTAGAATATTCCCAAAAAATTGCTTTGTAAAAGACGTTATATGTTAATAGTTGCAGGATTTAACCGAGGTGCTTTAAAATGGCTGGATATTCATTAGTTGTATTAATTTACCAAAAATGAATATTAAAAAACGTAATAAGTATTAAATATACCATGCTGGAAGCTTACCAGGATTCCAGGTGACCAGCATACATGAAATACTGGTATGATTATTTAAACTAGAGAACATACATATATTACAAAGATTCATTGTGTCATGTATTCTGGTATCTACCAAAATAAAGACATTGTATAGTGTTCATAACAGTATTTTAATTTAACCTAACCTTTGGTGAGCTACAGTTAGCTAACTTCATGTTTAACACAAAACCTCTAATGGCATTACATTGACAATTTTAAACAAAACTTAACTCTCAACTTGTAAGATAACGTTAAGTTAACTTACCCTTAAATAACTACATCACGTTTTTCAGGGGAAAAACAAACTGCAGAAAACGTTAGCTACTAACTGTTGTTAGCTAAGACACGTAGCTCTTGAAAGAAGAGCTCTTCCTCTTGGAAGTAACATTAGCCTCCTAGCAAACGTAAGGTTAAGTTACTTTAACGTAACGTTGTAAGAAAGCAAAACGAACCTTCGAGAAAGCTTTTATTCTCAGACTTGGTGAAATTGTGTAGTGTTGCTTACCTCCAGAAGGATTTTTAGTGCATTTCCCAACAGACAGAGCTGTCAGAGCAGTTCCTCTCAGAAGAGCAGCCGCTGGGCGGAGTCACAGAAACGCTCAACTGATCTTCACTCCCCGACCGTTAGTGCCAGTCAAAACCATTAATGCTTCCCTGATCTGTAAATTAGAGGTGAACTGTGCTTTTAGTGCTGATCTCCATGTTTGACTCGAAATGTACCCTAATATTGGATTCTGTTGCTCCTTTTTTACGCTTAGATGCACCAAAGTTCTCTCAGAGCCGTGGCTCAATGACTGCACTCATGCTATCAGACGCAGCTGCAGGCGCGCAGAGAGAAAATGGAGAAAGGATAAACTCCATGTCTCCCTAGAAATCCTTCGTGCTTGCCTTTCCGACTACCAGACGGCAGTCAAAGCAGCAAAAACAGAGCACATTTCTCTGTTAATCTCCAAAAACAGCCATAAACCTCAGGTTCTTTTTAATGTCCTCAACTCGATCATTAACCCCTGTGATGTTTCTCCAATTGTGCCATCGACTACTCTCTGTGATAAGTTTTTTACATTTTTTATTGAAAAAGTATCTGCTCTTAGGCTAGCCCACACTAGTGCTACCCCAGATCCTGCTCCTTTCCTGTGCCCTGCTGTCCTCGACCACTTTGAGCCTGTATCCCTCTCTTCTCTCTCGGATGTAGTCAAGCACCTGCGGCCGACAAACTGCAGCTCAGACAGCATTCCCTCTCGCCTTCTCAGGGATGTTTTCAAATCAGTTGGAGCAAGTGTTTTATTACTAATAAACACCTCTCTTACAGTAGCTCAGGATGTGTCCCAGCCGCCCTCAAACATTCCGTGGTCCAGCCACTACTTTAAAAGAAAATCTCGACCCCTCCATTCTCGCACATTTTAGGCCCATCTCACACCTACCTTTTTTATCTAAAGCCCTGGAGCGAGTAGTCTACGCCCAGCTGCAGTCTTTTTTAACCATGCATGGCATCCACGAAAAGTTTCAGTCTGGCTTCAAACCCATGTGTAACAGAGTTATAAAGGTTGGTGTAAAATCCGGGTTAAATTGGAGAATCACGCCATCTGGTGTTACAAATGCGTGCCTGCATTACTGTAGCTTTGTTACCGCAATGGATTGTGGGAGATTCTCATACCGCGTGAGGATCTTTTGAGAGTAAGGTTCTATTGTATTATGTCGGTGGACAAAATGTATATTATTATTTTATTAGGACAATAACGTTCTGTTGTGTTGTTTTGTTTAATGTTAGTCGTTTAATGCTCACAGCAACATGTTTTTTGTGTGATTGGCTATTTGTTTTATATGATTTATTAATGTGATCACCAATAGCTAATCTGAGCTAATAAGCTAACGTGAGCGTGGTGCTATCTCTCCTACAGAACGTGTCCTTTTTATGTGTCCATTCAAACGCAGGTATGTGAATTTTGTACACCAGTTTGTTTATGTTTAATGTTTCACATTGTTTACTACCACTATACGATCATTGATGGATTGTGGGAGATTCTCAGGATTCTGAGGATCTTTTGAGAAACGTGTCCTTTTTATGTGTCCATTCAAACGCAGAAACGCAGTGAAATAAACCAAAGTATTCACCAGCTCTGAGTGGTCTGTTGCCGAGGGGACACTACACCGGGGGTTACACATGCACAGTACTGAAACAGCCCTTTTAAGAGTTTGTAATGATCTGCTCCTAGCCGCGGACTCAGGTAGCCCAGCTGCCTTGGTGCTGATAGACCTGACAGCTGCCTTTGACACTGTGGACCATAGCATCCTGTTGTCACGGCTTGAACAGTCCACTGGCATCACAGGCTCTGCCCTTGCATGGTTCAGGTCCTACCTGACAGACCGTAGCTTCTCAGTTCAGCTACACTAAACAAAAATATAAATGCAACACTTTTGTTTTTGCTCCCATTTTTCATGAGATGAACTCAAAGATCTAAAACATTGTCTATATA